AGTTGAATTACTGAAATAAATGAACTTTTCCACGACATTCTAATTTATTGAGATGCACCTGTATGTTACGTATTTGCCCAGATGTCATTTTTAGTTTTGTAGCTAGTCAGTTCAAGTCAGAAAAAAGGAACCAGTTCCTTTGCAGGTAACTTGCAATTTTGTGTTTCAGCCACAGATGCTGATATACTACCACTGGTGTCAAAAGTATTCACATTCATTACTCAGGTATTCTTGGCCTGAAGATCAGCCCTGCAACACTAAACAGTCTTTCACAGGCTGCTGAGGCAGGGAGTGCTGTATTAAGCTTAAGTGATAGCTGGCACACAGCTGGGAAGGAATTCAGTACCTCTACTGTGTCTCCTGGGCACTCCAGGTACGCATCCAACTGCTGGGTCGTTTCAAGAGGGCCGCCAGTAGTGGAGAAATAATAACTTTTAAGAAATAATATTTTTTGAGTAACGACCCCAACACTGTCCTGAGTGTGACGTGATTTGTGTCATGTGCAGGTGCGATGGATCGCGTACAAACCAATAGGGTGTCGGAATGGTATATGTTTATACTTCTCATCCAACCACAGTCAAATTCACTCTATCCGGATGGCGCAATTTATCTGGATAGGTTTTTGTTTAGTTTTTTTGAACGATGACAAGCCGGAATGAAAACAAGCCGAAATGAAATAGGAGTAACGAGGCTATTTTTAAAATGTAAGGAGTAGAAAGTACAGATAATTGCGTGAAAATGTAAGGAGTAGAAGTAAAAAGTCGGCTGAAAAATAATTACTCCAGTAAAGTATAGATACCCAAAATTTCTACTTAAGTAAGGTAATGAAGTATTTGTACTTCGTTACTTGACACCTCTGATTATACTAGATATTTATTAGGATAGACTGGTGCATTTACTTTATAGATGACTTTTTCAGTCTCTTTCACTGCGTACTCAGTGAAAATAATTAATACATAGATGGTGTTATGTATTGTATGTTGCGGGGCATGTATGGATAATTCAGGAGCCACTGAAATGATGGATTGAACCACAACATTTAGATGTGATATCATCCATTTATCTCAGCAAACAGCACACAGTTTGATCCAATAGCAGATGGTAAATGTCATAATGTTCAGCAATGGCACATTTAGACAACACACTTAAGGCTCTGAATATTCACTTGGCATAAATTAAGAAATGGCCTAACCCACACATGCATACATGCATACAAGCAAACCAACAGAGGATTCATCCTCAAGGAGACTCATCTGGGAGATCTTTTTCCAGCACTTTTGTGGAAGATCATTAGATGGTTTCAGGGGCGTGGCCCCGTAATTGCTGCTTGCAGCTATATTTGAAATAGCATTTATTACAGTATAGCAACTATTCTGCCTTATTCTGTGATAAAAATGGAAAACAAAGTGTTTGTAGTATATTGGTTTTTCTTCGCCTATTAAAAGTAAGATATATGAGAAAAAGAAAACTTGTCAATAAAAAAAAAAGGTATTACATTTGACATTTCTGTCCCCCTCACTTCTGAAATGATGGCTACGCCCCTGGATGGTTTGAATGTTGGAGGCACATTTTTCATTCAGTCAATCAGGTCATGAGATGCATTAAAAATGAACAGTCTCAATTCAATCAGACACTGGTTTGCGATCTCTCACAGTCCTAAATTAAATTCACTGCCTAAATTAAATCAATCCACTGAACGTACAATTGATTTTTACAATTGACCTTGAATGGCTGACATTTGCCTACTTATTCAGCAAATAAATAACACATGACTAAATTGTGAATGCTGTTGAAAAGATGGTGGGTTGCCAAATTCAGAAAAGGAAAATAAGGAACAATTGTGATTATTTATAGGAAAATAAGGGACAGAATAAGGGACACTAAAATATTTGTACTGTACCACATGTATGTCACTGTCTGCAGTTGAGTAGATGTATAAAAGGTGTATAAAAGGTTCTCAAAAATAATCAAGTTTTGCTTAACGTATTCATGTACAATTACTCTAAAAATAATTTTAATGTAAAAAAAAAAACTAAATGTCACACACAAAAACCATCGGCCTGAGTAAATTGTACCATTATAGAATTGTGGTGTAGTAATTTAGGAGGTGGATATACTGTGAATTTACATAGCCTACATACATGGCTATGTGGCATACATTTTGAAAGCATAAAAACTGAAAATCTGAAATGTCAGTCAATAAAGCATTTTTTAAAAACTGGCAAAATTTTGAACTAAAATGTTTTTGCAACCATATAGGCCTAGTCTATATGAATGAATGAAAATGCATACTTTTGAATTAAAGATAACTTAGAGACTCTCTTAGGTAGACTTTTGAAATATGGGGACACTCGAAATGTCCTCATAAATCTCCCCATAAATCAACTCATTGTAATACCTATGTCATACCCATGTCATTTATACAAATTTGTGTCCTCATAAATCATAAAAACGCACGTGCGCACACACACACACACACACACACACACACACACACACACGTATTTCTAAAATTATAGGGACATTCCATAAGCAGTGGCTTATACTGTACAGACAGTATATTTTATCCCCCTACATGCCAGAATATTCTATAACCTTACCCTAAACCTACCCATCACTCGAAACGTTCTGTATTTTTAAATTTTCAATCATTCTGTATGATTTATAAGCTTGTTCCAACATGGGGACCTAAAAAAATGTTCGCATAATGTTAGAATTTACTGGTTTTACTATACTTGTGGGGACATTTGGTCGAATTGGTCCCCATAATTTAGGTAATACCAGTACACACACTCACAGCCTCTGAATATGCATTTTATTTTCTATGATTGAACTGCAGGCACATCATTTTTCTATTTTTGTAGCATAAACACCATCAAACCGATGAAAGTTTTGGATCTTCCAATGTTTCTCTATGGCGCTTAAACCTAAAGATGTCAGAGTGCAACTGATTCTCAACTGCCATTGGCTCATTTGCCTTCCTCAAACAGTTACGTTCACACATAAAACGATTTGTCCAAAAATAATGATTAATTATCAGTTGAGAATTGTTAGGCTATTTGTATGGTCTGTTGGTCATACGGCGTATGCTTGCAAATACGGGACAAACGCATGCGTTCCCTTGTATAACATTTCAAAATAAGATTTTTAAGGTTATTTTTGAAGGCATGGATGTATCCTTTGCTTATAATTTCCCACAATCTTGAATAGACACAATAGTCAGGGGCCAAAGGGGTTGCAGGCTTTTCTCTGATAGAATTATAGGCCTATAGCGCCTCGTACTCAATACATTGGCACAGAACAGTTTAACATGAACACTAAATTCTTATAAGGACCCCTGGTCATCTCTAAATTGTGTCTTCAGGGATATTTTCTTATATTGATGATGTTTGGTGTTGCATCTTCTGTTCTTCTCTCTCCTCTCCGGTCTGGAGGAGAGTCTTATCCAGTGCTTATCACACAAATGTATTATTGTTTCCCCCCCTCTCTGCACTTTAGCCCATTTTCAGCATTCACAACTTCAAAGTATCATTAGGCGATATGATATCCCAGCATCCCTTATCTCTATACAACACTGATGCTTCTTTTGAACTTTAAGCTGGGATGGTGAGAGACCAGAGACATTGTTGGGAGTAACGACAAAGCGATAACATTTGGCAGATTGACGAGGTGAACGGCTCGTTTCCCAATGTTTTCATAGAGCAAATAGTATTAGGTTTCCTATTAATGTCCATTCATAATCTGCATTTACCTTGCGGAAACGAGAAAAAAGGACACACTCAAGTTGAGTGATGGCAATTTTAGGCAAATAGTATTAGGTTTCCTATTAATGTCCATTCATAATCTGCATTTACCTTGCGGAAACGAGAAAAAAGGACACACTCAAGTTGAGTGATGTCACACGTGCTCAGTAAATTTCTTTGCCTGAGGAACACAAAAAATGCGATCATTTTATTCTGAAGCATTTTCAATAATATTCATAACATTAAAGAGACAGAAAAAGACAGACAGACATACAGACAGACAGACATAAATAGATAGATAGGAACTACAGCATTGAAGTTATAACTGTGGTACATTGGCACCCTCTAATGGTCAAAACAAGTAGCGAACGACTATAAAGATACTTCAGGCTCTCTCTCTCTCTCTCTCTCTCGCTCTCTTTCTCTCTCTCTCTGTCTGCCTGTCTGTCACAAGGTTGGTAGATGGGGAAAAAAGAAAGAAACCTTATTAAACCATTTAAATAAACTTTGAAAGCCTTTATATTTGTCTACAAATTAATATTTAATTACTTTTTTCATTTTTTAACATTAAATTTACTTTTTTTTTAAATTGCATTTTAATATTTACATAATAATATACTATGGAATTATAGGATTGTAATCCTCAGATTTCTGTTTTCAAAAACAAAAACTTGTTACAGTAAACAGTTAGTTTGTCGCACAAAAAGTTTTCAATTTTCATGTATATATACAAAATCACAGAAAGACAAAACATCAAGAGGGGAAAAAAAGTTTATATTAAGTTTTATTTCCATGTAACCTAGGAACTTAACCCTATTGAAAAAAACAGCATATGCTGGTTAGGTGTGTTTTGAAGCATGGCAACTGGTTTGAGCTGGTCCTTAGTTGGTCATGAGCGGGTTTAAGCTGGACCACCTTAAACCAGCTCAAACCAGCTGCCATGCTTCAAAACATAGCTAACCAGCATATGCTGTTTTTTCAACAGGGAAATCAGTGGCTGAGGCAGCTCATGCCCTGCTGCGGTTGAAATGAGCTCATCTCTGCTGGAAGAGCCTCGTCTGCTTTCTTCTCTGAAGGAGGACATCACACCTATCAAGACGCTTGTGACTTTAAAGGGGAGCAATTCAGAAGAGAATGTTGTACGCACTGATAACAAAAGAACGGCATACGCAGGGTCTGGTGGTAAATCACACACTTTTATTATCAGCTTAGTCGTTGAATTTGTACAAAGAGATCAAATAATGCAATTACAAGACTAGACCATTGGACATTGTGATACGCACACAAAATCAGACAAAGGGGCCTGATCGTAGCAGGGCAGCTATGCAAACTGGAGCAGACGACAGATCAGGTAAACAGGACCATGTTATGTGGTTTCGGAAAAGCATTAGCAGCACACACACACACACACACACACACACACAGACAGAGAGAGAGAGGCACAATTCACTAGCACACCAGGTGGAGGAGTTACAGCAAACACATGTCAGGACAAAAGTGTCACCACATCAAGTTCACAGTGGACCAGACTCTAACCAAGATGTAGGTCACAGATAGAAAGCTTTCTCATCAAACATTATAGTCAGCAGTCAGGAGTGGCTTTGCCTCTGATTCTGTCAGTCCTGGATCATCAGTGGCTTCTTCAGGCAGCAGTTGTAAAAGCTTTCCATTGTATGCTGAATACTAAAGCAGTGTGTTTTTGAATGTTGCTTAAATGCAGATTTATCAGTCAAAGAGCTTCACAAATCTCTGAAATTCTACTTCTAACGCCTGTGAAAGGAGCTTGTTTTTAGAAAGTATCACCTAAAGGAGCCAGTGACTGACCCAGGGATAATGTTCAAAACTGGAGGAGCTCATCAGTACAGAGGCACTTGAGAAATGAGAAATACTACATCAGATTAAGGCACCACAAACAACAGTTACAACGGATCTTTGGAACAACAAAATTTACACACTTCAGGTTTACACACTTAATACAACTTATTTTCTAATCTGTCTGTCTGGGGCTGCATAACCTTTTCAAATAATTGCAATTTTAGACAATGAACTATACATTTCATGATATATATATATATATATATATATATATATATATATACCACTTGTTGTTCTTTTGCCAATACAGCAATTATATATATAATTTGCTAGATATAATTAAATAACTGAAGACGGCAAGAATCTGATAAACTTGAATGAATACTTCCTTTATTTATCTTTACGCACCAATGCATAATTGTTTGAAGTGTTAAAAATGTGGCCCTGATGAATCATTAAAGTTTGAGTTCTAAACAAATCATTCTTCCACCATGATAGCAGGACACAGTGGACGAGTCAATGAAACAATCATTACCCTCCCCTTTCTCCCTCTACATATGGGACTCGTGCCAATTATGGACTCGCTTATGTCTTGAAATATGTATAATTACACAAAGGTCTCAATCCAAAAGGTCAAATGAATTATCAGAGTGAATCTCTCGAGGAAAATGACCTCTCCATAGCATACTAGTAACTCATGTGGTAGAGAAGCAAACGTGGCTAGGGTAATGACCTCTTCTGATGTGCTTTCAGGCATTTGAACGTGACACAGGTGCTTCAGCTAGGAGGAGTGAATGAGAACCTGCCGTATATCTACCCACAACTACAACACAAGCACTTTACTGGCTGTATCCGAAACCTCATTGTGGACAGCAAGGTGAGGAAATGCATGCATATCAGTACAGACAGAGAAAAATCTTTGACAACAGTGATAGAGTGAGGGAAGAAGAAAAGATAAAGAAGCTTTATTATGCAAAGTCCTGTAACAGAGATGAGTCTTTTTATTTTTATATGATCTACAGAATTCTATCTATCTATCTATCTATCTATCTATCTATCTATCTATCTATCTATCTATCTATCTGTCACAAGGTTGGTAGATGGGAAAAAAGAAAAAAAAAACTTATTAATAAACCATTTAGATAAACTGGGAAAGCCTTTATATTTGTCTACAAATTAAACATTTTTTTCCTAATAATACACTATGGGATTAGAGGATTGTTAAACAACGGATGGTTGGAAATGAATGCATGTCAAAAAACAAATTCATATTTCAAGTATACACTGGTCTGTTACATGAAAAAATCTAATATGTAAAAGTACATTCAAATGCTTTCATATGATTCAATCATACAGTAGCTTTTAGAAATGACATTAAACACTGGGATAACCTTCAAATCAGCTCTCTATGACTGATAGATTTCACTTCATTATACTACCAGAAACATAAAGCCAGTCTGTACTAACTGTCATTTGTATGCTGAGAATGAGTGTGATATGAACAGCCTCTGCTTCTCTCATGAATTATATATTGAATTGTGCTGAAGCTAATACAGCTTCTGTGTTGTGTTGTGATGTAGAGAAGATATTCTTAAAGTCTCTGCTATAGAGGACAATAAAATGCATGACTAAATGCTAATCTAGAAGGCTAAAGGTTAATTAACGAGTTCCTGAGAACAGCACCTGAAATAAGACTGGTGGAAAACACACACACTCTCACACGCAATGAATGGTTGTGGAATGTCACACGTTCGGTTCATTTAATATGGCTAGTTTGTGAATTCTTTGACAGGACAATTCCCACATTAACAATTTGTAGCTACTCATTAAGCCATAATAATCACTTGGTTAATTTTTAACAATGACTGAGTAATTGTGTATCAAATCTCATCTAAGTAACTCGGCCACAGACCATGATTGAACATCACAATCACAAGGCCAGCTCACAGAGAACAGGTTGTGAAAGTGGGAGGGGCTTTAGCTCTGTGGGAGGAGCCCCTTCTTGTAGGCAACCACTCCTGCTGCTGTGGCCAGAGCCAGGAAGGAGGACACGCCCATGAACTTGAGTAATCCCCCAACGGATGGCAAGTTTCTTTCCCAAAATGTGGTGACAAACGGCAGGGCCGGGACATCCTGAGAAAAAGTGTTCAGAGTAGAATTTGTTCAAGATCCAAAACTAAAAATGCTTTTTTTGATATTTATGGATTCAATGAAAACGTTTCTTAAGTGCATTCAAAAGTGCAATTCATACCAATGATTCAGGCTCTGGCTGCCAGATCTGACTCGCATGGAGTTTTCCCATTGCACACAAAATCTGGAAGAAAGAAGCATACAGTATTTAGAGTTTTTCCTTCAAATAACAAATCAGACATAAACTTCAGTTAGCATTTGCATTTAAGACATTTAGCAGATGCTCCTATCTAGAGCAAATGACAAAAAGTGCTTTAGTTTTATATACAAGATCATTAACAGATGGCAAGCAAGTGTATGTGTTAGTTTAGAAGAGCTTCCTGTACACACACTACTGTTCAAATGTCTTGGGTCAGTAAGATAAAAAAAAAAAAATGAATACATAATTTAATGCAATTATCAATACAATTTAATATTAGCAAGGATACATTCAATTGATCAAAAGTGACAGTAAAGACATTTATAGTTCTAAAAAAATATTTTCTTTTTTCTTTCTATTCATCAAATATTCCTGAAAAAAATATACCACAGTTTCCACAAAAAATATCCAGCATTTTTCAAAAATATCAATAATATCAAATAAATATATCAAATCAATAAATATAAAAATATCAATAAGCATGAATACACGCACAAAATGAAGTCGATTGTGATGTGGTAAAATAGACTCCAAAAAATCAAAAGACCAATCAAAATTCAGTTATATTGCAATGACATCACTGCTGTGGAATTCATATTGAACATGTTAATATTCAATGACAGATTTTTAAACTTTGAGATGAGAGCTTTTTGTTTCTTGCACTGATATATTTCCTGTTGAAACAGGAAGTTTGGGCAGAACAATTTTTTAATAAATATCTCAGATCTCAGTAACTATTGGCTAAGAACGCACTTCTCTACTGGCTCTCTCTCCAGCTTGCACGGCCCCCTCCATGTAACCGCTCCACTCTGTGGCTGTTTCAGTTCCTGCAAAGTACAGCCTGCCCACTGACTCCCTCAGGACCCTGAAACAGAGAGAAACGGTCACTTCTCATCTCAATTCCTGCTCTAGTTTACCATCAGCAGGCTAGCATAATGCTGAACCATCCGGCAGTGCACTAACCTGCCATACTGTGTCATGATACCAGGGGGGAAGTAGGCAGTGTAGCAGCCACCAGAGTACTCCTCCTCACACCAATTTTTCTCCTCGTAGTGCACAGGCTAAAGAAGATATCGCCATAAAAATGAAGCGTGAAAATTTCTTAAAAAATGATAAGACTAAAGGATGACTTCTGGTCATGGAGACTCACATGTAATGCTTCTTCTGAGCCGAGCACACGAGCATAAATCTCACAGATCCTTCTCTTTCTAAAATGGTTTACAACATTCTGGTAAGAATAATCACTTCAGCATAAAGTGTGCACAGGCGTAGTGACATTTTACCAATATGAAAACAAAGAAATATCTACCTCTCCTCTTTCGTCAGGCCTGCTAATTTCCTGGATTTTCGTGCCAGGATGAAACTGTAAAGAGAAGGAGCCAGCTTACTGTCCTGTCACTTCAAACATCTCAATTATTTTGTTTGTAGTTCATGTTCATCCTACGATAGAAAGCTCAATGCTTTATTTACCCCATTATAGCAGGCACAGACCCATCAGGCTTAGTGTCGTCAAGAGTGAGACCAATAGGTGCTTCCTCCTCTTCGATCACCATGCTGCCACAGTATCCTGAAAAAAGAAAACAGCCCAGGTTAGCATACAGACTGTGTAGCCAGTGTTATTTTAGTATTATTTACAGTTTTTAATAATATTTTGAATTAGCTTTTATTTTTATATGTTCAGTTTTCATTTTCATTTAGTTTAGATTTTAATAATTTTGTTATGTGCTTTTGTCTTTTTTTTATATTTAAATGTATTTATTTATTTCAGCTTTAGTTTTAGTCATTTTAGTACTTCAGCCTATTTTATTTTAGTTGGTTGCCAATGCAACATTTGCAACAAGTTTTTCATAATATTTCTATTTCATTTCAGCTTGATTTCAAATAACAAAACCAATTTTTAATTGTTTTAGTTAACAATAACAACACTGCATGCATTCAATGCCACTTCAGCCCCAAGATTCGTTTGTAACTGGCTTTCATGTGATTTATGTAATAGAAAGTGGACAAGAAGTACAGACCCTTCTTCCTCCAGAAGTTCTCTTTGTAGTACACCATGCATTTGATGACTGAGCCCATGGGGACTCTATGAATGAGCTGGTTCCTCAGAGGGGGCAGTTCAGGGTTGAAATGGATCTTCAAGTTCAGCCCTGGTGGTATGGCAAGTATAACATATTTGGCCTACAAGAACAGAGAAAAAGAAAATTCTTTAAAAAAAAAATATATTTTTTTTACAAATACATCACCAATTTTTCTCCTCGTAGTGCACAGGCTAAAGAAGATATCGCCATAAAAATGAAGCGTGAAAATTTCTTAAAAAATGATAAGACTAAAGGATGACTTCTGGTCATGGAGACTCACATGTAATGCTTCTTCTGAGCCGAGCACACGAGCATAAATCTCACAGATCCTTCTCTTTCTGAAATGATTGACAACATTCTGGTAAGAATAATCATTTCAGCACAAAGTGTGCACAGGTGCAGTGACAATTTACCAATATGAAAACAAAGAAATATCTACCTCTCCTCTTTCGTCAGGCCTGCTAATTTCCTGGATTTTCGTGCCAGGATGAAACTGTAAAGAGAAGGAGCCAGCTTACTGTCCTGTCACTTCAAACATCTCAATTATTTTGTTTGTAGTTCATGTTCATCCTACGATAGAAAGCTCAATGCTTTATTTACCCCATTATAGCAGGCACAGACCCATCAGGCTTAGTGTCGTCAAGAGTGAGACCAATAGGTGCTTCCTCCTCTTCGATCACCATGCTGCCACAGTATCCTGAAAAAAGAAAACAGCCCAGGTTAGCATACAGACTGTGTAGCCAGTGTTATTTTAGTATTATTTACAGTTTTTAATAATATTTTGAATTAGCTTTTATTTTTATATGTTCAGTTTTCATTTTCATTTAGTTTAGATTTTAATCATTTTGTTATGTGCTTTTGTCTTTTTTTTATATTTAAATGTATTTATTTATTTCAGCTTTAGTTTTAGTCATTTTAGTACTTCAACCTATTTTATTTTAGTTGGTTGCCAATGCAACATTTGCAACAAGTTTTTCATAATATTTCTATTTCATTTCAGCTTGATTTCAAATAACAAAACCAATTTTTAATTGTTTTAGTTAACAATAACAACACTGCATGCATTCAATGCCACTTCAGCCCCAAGATTCGTTTGTAACTGGCTTTCATGTGATTTATGTAATAGAAAGTGGACAAGAAGTACAGACCCTTCTTCCTCCAGAAGTTCTCTTTGTAGTACACCATGCATTTGATGACTGAGCCCATGGGGACTCTATGAATGAGCTGGTTCCTCAGAGGGGGCAGTTCAGGGTTGAAATGGATCTTCAAGTTCAGCCCTGGTGGTATGGCAAGTATAACATATTTGGCCTACAAGAACAGAGAAAAAGAAAATTCTTAAAAAAATATATATATTTTTTTACAAATACATCATTTCAGATAGTTAAGTGTTAAAAGGACTGTTGTGTAGGAGGCATGGTCAAACCCCATAAAGCATCAGAACTGTGCACATTAACAACATATTTAAAGCTGCTGTGAGAGATTTTTTTTGGAAATGCCGCACATTTAAAGGTTCCTTCTATCTGATGTATTTCGCTGAAATCACACGTCTCTGTTACCTTGTATATAACAAAAAGAGTTTTACTGTGCTTTAATGGATTTACAGTATCAAAACCTCTCAGAAATTTGGAACTTGTATAAATTGCAACAATTTTGCTGAAAATTCAATTTTGCCATCACAGGAATAAATTTCATGTTAAAATATACTAATACATGCAGCCTTGATCAGCATAAAAAAAAATAAAATAATTTTTTTACAGACCCCAAACTTTTGAACAGTAGTGTATATATGTAAGGAATATAGTGGTTCCAGTCGCCCCCACTGTTCCTCCCCAGAGGATTAAGCAGCTCTACAGCAGCCTTTAATAAGCTTTCAGCACAGGAAAGAGGATGTGACCAGGACAGAGGGATGAAGAGCGGCTTACTGATAACAATCCACCAAGCTTACACACATACATGGTGATACATACTTCAAAGTGGTACATTTGTCCTTCAAATTAGCCGATTTAGTATGAAATGTAAAATACTGCCTACTCGGTGTTTACTAAACTCAAAAGCTAGCACACTACTATATTACCATTTATGCAGTATGTATATTGTGTGTATTATGCACATTTGTGTGCGTGCACAGAATATGGGGTATGATTTGCTACTTGGACTGGAATACTGTATACCACAATGCAATGTGCCTGACTTGACCTTCCATTTCTATCTGGCCAATGCGACAAAAACAATTTTTAGCTCTTTATTTGATTGGAAACCCAAAGTTAAGACATTTTAAACAACTTTAAATAAAAATCTAATATATACACTACTGTTAAAACATTTGGGGTCTGTTAAGATTTTTTGTAAGAAGTCTCTTATGCATTCATTTGATCAAAAATACAGTAAATATTGTGAAATATATATATATATATATATATATATATATATGCTCAAAG